AACTTGACTTTGTCTCCGCCTTACTTTCCTACGGTTCGGATCCGAACAAATACGTTTGCTACGCGTGACTTCAACGACGAATAGAAACGCCAAAAAGTAAGGCGAACAAGTCAGCCTTGCGTCTTGGGGGCGGAAATTTCCGCCCTAATTTTTCGGCTTCTTAGAAATTTATTTCCCACGCAACTTTGAGTTTGAAAAAAAGCCAGAAAGCAGGGCGGATCCGGAGTCAGGGAAGACGGTCAAAGAGGGCCTCGAGTCGCCGAACGATCACTCCAAGACGCCCGAGATGGCCCCAAGATGGCCCAGGAGGCCTCCAAGACGCTCCAAGAGGCCTCCCAAGAGGCCCTCTGGACGGTCAAAGAAGGCCACGAGACGCTGAAATATCGATCGAAGACGCCCACGCTGGCCTCCAGACGGCCCAAAAAGCCCCCAAGACGCCCCAAGAAGCCGTCGAGAGGCGTCCAACGACAGCCCCAAAGAGCCAAACTCGCCCCATTGCCATTGGAAAACCTGCATTTTTAGCCCATTCGCACGCATCTCCTGCGATCATACCATCCAGAACAGCCTAAGAAGCCTCCTGGGTCGCCCCGAGACGGCCCAAGAGGCCTCCAAGAGAGGGCTCTCCGACGACCCAAGACGGCCCCAAGGCCGCCCAAAAAGCCCCCACGACGGCCCAGGGGTCCCGTTTTGGGGAGGGGGAGGTTTTCCCCACCCCTCCCGGCTTGCAAAAATATAGAAGGGGGAATACAACATCACACACCTATATACATATATGCATGTATATATATGTATATACATACATATATATATATATATATATATATATATATATATATATACAAGACTGCATTGGCGCTTCGCGCCATGCACCTTGTTCCTTGTGAGCTCGAATGCAGGCGGCGCGCGCGCGTGGACTTGGGGCCGGGCACCACCAAGTCGGAGTGGGTCAGGATCTCCTGAGCGGGAGCGACTTGACAACGCCAGCTCTGGCCAGCTCAGGGCGTCTCTGTGCCCAGAGGCGCGAGGAAGTCTCAGGCGACTGGTTGGGGTAGCATGAAGCAGGGCATCCTCCTCCTCTTGCTCTTCCCTCGCATTTTCCTCCCCCTCTTTCTCCTCTTCATCTTCATCCTCTGTCTGCTCTTCCCTCCTTCTCCTCATTCCGCTTCCTTCTCCTCTCCCTTTTCTTTTCCTCTACTTCTTCTTGCTTTTCTTCCACTTGCTATTTTCGGCATGCGCGCTGCTGGGCTGCCGGCTTCTTGCTGATGGCGCTCCTGTTGTTTCGTTTTTTCGTTTCCTCTTGTCACTTCCGATTGTCTCTTGAGGCGTCTAGATGCCTCCAAGACGGCTCAAGATGAGTCCCCAGACGAGCCCCAAAGAGACCCAAGGCTGACGCAACTGGGCCCAGAGAGTGAGGCCCAAGGACGCACAACTGTAGGGAAATCATTGGAAAAGCAAGGTTTTTGGTCTTCTCGCCTTGTCGCTTCCGATTAGGTCTTGAGGCGTCCAGACAGCTCCAAGACGTCTCCAAATGAGTCTCCTGCCGAGCCCCAAAGAGGCCCAAGGCTGGCGCAACAGGGCCCGGAGATGGCGCAACTCGGCCCGGAGAGTGGGCCCAAGAATGGACAAATGTAGGAAAATCATTGGAAAAGCAAGGTTTTTGGTCTTCCCGCCTTGTCGCCTGCGATTGGCTCTTGAGGCGTCGAGACAGCTCCAAGACGGCTCCAGATGAGGCCACAGACGAGCTCCAAAGAGGCCCAAGGCTGGCGCAACAGGGCCCGGAGAGTGGGAAAAGCAGAGAAAGCGTAGTAAAAAAGCACTGTTTTCGGCCTTCTCGCTTGTACACTATCGCTTGACACGTTGGGCGTCAAGATGACCCCAGGATGGCCACAGCAAGGCGCAAGACAGGCCCGATGAGGAGAAATTCGTTTTGGGGGGGGTGCTGGGGTGTGGGCTCCCCGGCCCTATAAAAAACATATAATAGGAATAGAGAGAGAGAGAGAGGAATAACAAAAAGAAACACAAGAGATAGAGAGAGAATAAAAAGAAACAGACGCAGATCTGTAGAGAGACATGTAGATAGAGAGAGAGAGAGAGATAATAGGAGAGAGAAAAAGAGACCGAGAAAGAGAGAGAGAGATAGAGAGTGAGACAGAGAGAGAGAGAGATGGGGGGGCTGGGAGAGCGCGTGGAAATTGAGAACACAACCACTGAGAACATTTCAGAAACGAGGCGGAAGCTCAGGAGGGAGAGGACGAGAACGAGGGGGGGCATCGGGAGGATGCGTGGAGTGGAGGAGGAGCGAGATTGGAATATCGATGGGATATTGCTGCTTAGGACTGAACGCTGATGGAAGGCACAACGCTCTCGCTGTGCAAGTTAAAACTTACATGGGGTTTCCAATGTGGAGCGTGAGACAACACGTTGGCTAGCTGCACGGGAGAGCGCGAGGGGCTGCCAGTGCCAGCTGGAGGCAACTGAGCTTTCAATCACAGGGGATTCCCCGGGCTGTACCTCCATGAGCCGTTCAGACGCAGCCACCCGACCTCGTGCTCCTCTTCCTCCTCCTCCTTCTCTTCCTCCTCTACTGATTCGCCTCTTCCTCCTTCTCTTGAGCTCTTGAGCCGGATGGCGACAGGTTGAGCCTTTTCCTCCTCCTCCTCCTCTTCCACCCCTCCTCCTCTTCCTCCTCCTCCTCCTGCTCCTCCTTATTCTCGTGCTCTCTCTGCTCCTCCTCCTCCTCCTCCTCCTCCTCTTCTTCCTCCTCCTCCTCCTCCTCGTCCTCCTCCTTCCCTCTCCTCGTGCCCCTGCTCCTGCTCCTGCTCCTCCTCCGGCCCCCGCACCTGCTCCAGTTTCCTCTCATCCTACTCCCGCTGCTGCTGCCCCTCCTCCCCATACTCCTCCTTTCACTTGACCTCTCATCCACCCCCCTGCTCTCCCTCCTCCACCTCCTCCTCCTCCTCCTCCTCCACCTCCTCCTCCTCATCATCAGCATCACTATCATCGTCGCATTATTATTCTTACCCAGAGTATCCTTCGTATGATTCCTATAACTATTGAACAGCTTGTGTTGCTATGAACAGTATTATTATTAGTATTACTACGACGACTACTACTCCGACTACTACTACTACTACTACTACTACTACTACTACTACTACTACTACTACTACTACTACTACTACTACTACTACTACTACTACTACTACTACTACTACTACTACTACTACTACTACTACTACTACTACTACTACTACTACTACTACTACTACTACTACTACTACTACTACTACTACTACTACTACTACTACTACTACTACTACTACTACTACTACTACTACTACTACTACTACTACTACTACTACTACTACTACTACTACTACTACTACTACTACTACTACTACTACTACTACTACTACTACTACTACTTACTACTACTACTACTACTACTACTACTACTACGACTACTACGACTACTACACTACTACTACTACTACTACTACTACTACTACTACTACTACTACTACTACTACTACGACTACTACTACTACTACTACTACTACTACTACTACTACTACTACTACTACGACTACTACTACTACTACTACTACTACTCTACTACTTCTACTACTACTACTACTACTACTACTACTACTACTACTACTACTACTACTACTACTACTACTACTACTACTACTACTACTACTACTACTACTACTACTACTACTACTACTACTACTACTACTACTACTACTACTACTACTACTACTACTACTACTACTACTACTACGACTACTACTACGACTACTACTACTACTACTACGACTACTACGACTACTACGACTACTACGACTACGACTACGACTACTACGACTACGACTACTACGACTACTACTACTACTACTACTACTACTACTACTACTACTACTACGACTACTACTATACTACTACTACTACTACTACTACTACTACTACGACTACGACTACGACTACGACTACGACTACACTACTACTACTACTACTACTACTACTACTACTACTACTACTACTACTACTACTACTACTACTACTACTACTACTACTACTACTACTACTACTACTACTACTACTATTCCTACGATTGATACGATTACTACGACTACTACTACTACTACTACTACGACTACTACGACTACTACTACTACTACTACTACTACTACTACTACTACTACTACTACTACTACTACGACTACCACTACGACTACTAATAGTGATCGCAAGAGTATGCGTAGTATTAGTGGTATTACCATTGTTGGTATTATGCAGTTATTCGTGACATAATTATTAATATGATGATCATCGTCATGATCATCATCACCACCACTGCCATCATCATCATCAACAGCATCAGCATCATCATCATCACCATCATCACCATCACCCTCACAATTATCACCATCATCATCATCATCAGCATCATCATCATCGACGCCATCATCGTTCATCATCAGGAGCAGCAGCTTCATAATCACCACACTTATCATAACCATCGCCATCACCATCACCACCACCACCATCATCATCATCATCAACATCATCATACTCATCATCATCAGCATCATCATTAGCATTGGCATCATCATTCGCATCAGCATCATCGCCATCAGCTTCATCATCATAATCGCCATCATCATCAGCATCATCAGCAGCATCATCGTCATCATCATCGGCATCATCAGCATAAGGCATAAGGCATAAGGCATAAGCATCATCATCATCATCATCATCATCATCATCATCATCATCATCATCATCATCATCATCAGTAACAGCATCATCATCAGCAGCAGCATCATCATCATCATCCTCATCATCTTAATCCATATCCTCATGATCCTCCCTCTCCTCTGCGGAGGAGGGGAACCAGAGGAAGGGAGGAGAAGAGCAGAGAGGGGTAAGAAGAGAGGGAGGGAGGAGGGAGAAGAGGAGGAAGGTGGGGGAGGGGAAAGGGAGGAGGCCCCCGCCTCAGCGCCCCCGAGCGCGCTGCCGATCCTGGCAGCCACTCGTGCCACCCACCCGCGATCGGCCGCGCGGTCGAAGGCCCCTGGCAGGGCCGACCTGTCGGCGGGGGCAGCGGGGCCCGGGCCCGTGCGTCGGCCGCTGCAAAGCCGTCGGCGTCAGAGCCACTCCTCCTCCTGCTCCTACGCCTCCTCCTGCTCCTCCTCCTCCTCCTGCTCCTGCTGCTCCTCCTCCTCCTCCTCCTCCTCCTCCTCCTCCTCCTCCTCCTCCTCCTCCTCCCCGTCAGAGTCAATAAGGGCGCCTAACATCGCGCTTCGCGCTGCGCGAAGCGCGAAAAGCTTCGCGCTCTCGCGCCGCCCCTCAGGGGAGAAGAGGAGGAGGAGGAGGAGGAGGAGGAGGAGGACGACGACGAAAGGGAGGAGGAGGAAGAGGAGGACGAAGAATCGGAGCAGAACCGCGAAACGCGAATCACTTCGCGCCCTCGAGGGCGCAATTGGTCAGAGTCAACGTCGTCACCACCACGGCCGTCGTCATCACCGCCATGGTCATCAGGGCCACGGTCGTCCTCGACATCATCGTCATCGTCGTCGTCGTCAGCGCCGTCACCATCGTCGTTATCATCGTCGTCATCGGCGCTGCCATCGCTGTCGCCGTTACCATCCTAGTCCTCATCAGCAGTATTCTGAGAATCATGATCGTCACCGACGCGAACTTATCAATCTCTTCATCGTAACCGTCCTCACTATGTATAGTGGTAGGGGAAGACTACTCTGGCTCAAGATGGACTCAGATCATCGCTCCAGATCCTGCCAAGGCAGGCGCGTGCCAGCAGATCCGACCATGGTCCGCAGCCTGTATCTCCCTTTCGCGTATCATCAAAGTTCGCATGCGAGTGCAATCGGATGATGCTAAGGCCAATCATTGGGCCCACTGCACGTGTAAACTTCCACGACGGCTGAGTTCACAGTCGCGTTTTGACATTCCGCGTCACCTACCTCGGCAAACACCATGGCAAAATGCCACCAGAACTCCGCAGAATCTGCTTGCGAATCAGAATGCAGAGGCGCACACCTCCCCCACGACGCCAGCTGTGCACATCGCTGATCCTGACCAGGCCATCCTTGGCCTAGGATCGGTGTGTACGCCCTTCTGGCCTGAAGGCGGGGACGCACTGTGCCGATCCTGGGCCCGGGAGCGGCCTGGCCAGGACTGGCGAGGTAGAACGGTCGCTGGCGCCCGCCGAACCAGGGACACAGGGGCAGCAGAGCGGGAGCGGGCGGGCGCGACCACAGCACCAGCTGCCCACCACCCGGCAGCGGCTTGGCGATGACGGCCTCGGCGTCTCCTTCGCGGTCGCTTGGCTGGGCAGCCGGGGCGCGGCGCCACGACCCCTTGTCCCTGGAGGAGCGGCGACCTCGACCCTCGAGGGCTGCAAGATGTCCCGTCGAGGACAGCAAGGGCCTCGAGGACCGCGAAGATCGTCGATGCCAGCGAAGACCCTCTGTGTCGAGCCCAGTGGGGTCGAAGGCGCCCAGCGGGGGAAGCTACTTCTTGCCCCCGGCTCTCGAGGGTCGAGGAGGCGGGACTTTCGGGAGCCTCCCCCGGAAAACTTCGAGAGTTTTGCACTCTTGCCTGCGCCTCCAGACGTCTGCGGGGACCCCTTCTGGGGACCCCTGGTGGCCAGGAACGGGAACCTGGGCGGAGGCAGACTTACTGGGCCCGGGTGTGGGGGCGCGTGGGCGCCGTGTTGGACGCCGTCGCCCGCCTCTTCCTGGATCTTCGACAAGGCGTGTGGGGGTGGGGCTGCCGGTGGCGTGCGGCTGGAGGGCGACGGGCGAAGCGAGCGAGCGAGCGAACGCAAGGAGGGAGAGCAAACACACACACACACACACACATTTGCACACACACACACACATTTGCACACACACACACACACGCACAGACATACGCCTTTTGGCGCTGCGGCCTCGCGAGCAACGTCGAGGTGTAGAAAATCACACACACACACACACCTATTTCCTGCTCTGCGGGTTCGCGCGGGGCGACGCGCCACGACACTGCCCGCGCCCAACGGTCGATCTGGCGGGCACATGGGAAACCAACAGGAGAGAGGAGAGACTGCCAGACCACCAGCAGCAGCGCCATCGCCGCCATCGCAACGCCATCGCGACCTGATGGAAAACCATGAAGTGTCCACTGAGGTCTGGCTCGGTCCAGGTCAGGCAACAGCAACACGTGGAGAGCGATCGCACACACACGCGCGCGCGCAAAGAGCTGAACTGTCTGCCGTGTCGCCACCATTCTCCTCCGCTCGATCATCAATCCTCCACTTATTTTCATCCAACTGTTCGTCGTCGTCTTCCCCTCGTTATCCTCATCATCGACCGGCTCCGCTGCCAACGACTAGTCTTCCTCCTCCTGCAAACTTAGGAGAAAGATGGTGATACGGATGGGGCGTTCTTTTATCTAAGAAGACAGGTAAGGGTACCATAGAGTGTTGTGCCGTGGTGTCACAGACTGAAGCGCCTAAGCCCAACGCCAGCGGTTGTACAGCAATCTGGCGTCTTATATCGGAACGCCCCCCTCGACCACATGGTCCTGGTCGGGTCGGTCACGTGTAGCCTTCTACAATTTTCCACATCACCAGTGGAATCTGGAGCTAAGTCGACAGCACAAGAGCAGTGACGTCTTGGAAGTGGTGGTGAATGGACACGGCAAAACGAAGATTTGTACACAGCATGGTTGACAGCGTTCTGGATGCAAACGCATGCATGGTGAACACAACCCGGAAGCATAAAAGGTGACTTGGGTTGCGGCAAGATATCTGCTCTATTTTAATGTTCACAACTGCCGCCAAAATGTTCAAGTTTACTTTGAACTTTCCATTGTAGCTCGTGCGGCAGACCTTGGAGCAAGAGAATATCAGAAAGGAACCACTTGGTTGATCGCCGTTCGCAGGGCATGCCGAGCACGACCTCGGGCGCTTGCCCATGCCTAAACCGCGGTCCAAGCGGTCATGTACTCATCCTCCGGGTCACGTTTTCACGACCGTCGTCCCAGGCATCCTCTTCCCTCTGGGCCCAGAAACGCCTCGAGGTTGTGCTTGGGTAGCTTTGCCACCGACTGGTCACGGTGCCGTGGAAACGCCCTGCAGCTTGCCAGTAGGTCAGCAGGTGAACCTGACGTTGAGTGTTGTCCACTGGATGCTACGACTTGCAAGCCGATGGCTGCACTCCGCTCCTCAGTATGGTTTGACCACCCAGGTCTGGCTGGTGGCCCACATGTGGCAATCTGATGAGGGGATCTGCGCGTGCCGCAAAATCTTACCATCCATGTGTTTGAAGGGGCCCTGGGACACACACATAAATATACACAAATAAAAGGATCCCCCATCTTTTCCCATATTCTTTGGGTTTTTGTCTTCCCCCCACTTCCCATATCTTCCCATATTTTCTAGGGAATCGACGATTAATTGTGTCTGTGTTTTTTCCCCTCCTGAATGTTGGGCCCGGTCAACGGGGGAACTGGTGCGCCCAGCTGTCGCCGGGTCGGTTGCGCAGTGGCCCGAACTTATCACGGTCGCACATCTCCACGGGCAGAGAGGTGCGACACCAGTCTAGGGCCAGCGCGTAATTCATCATCGTATCCGTTAGCTAGGCTTCTTGCCAGTGGCGTCAAAGTTGTTGTAGTAGATCTCCAGACCGTCGCCGATCGTGGCGAGTTCCCGCGCCAACTCCCTGGTTAGGAATCTCACAGCGATGGCGCTGGTCATGATGTCCCCGTGACTGCTACGAATGATCAGGAAACTATGCAAAATCTTCATGGCGAGGATCGCGGGGCTACCTGGCCAGAGTGTGCCAAACCAAGTGGTGATCAGGTTGCCGCAGTCTCGCTCCTGGAGCTCAAGTGCGTCATTGATGTACCCTTGCGTTGTGTCCGCGATGCTCCAATCACACACTCGCCTAGGCATGTGTGTGATGGTACTTTAACCCTGGGGTAACCCTCGATGTCATTGGGGCATTGGCTCTGGATGGTGGTTACCAGCTGGACCCCCGAACCGTGCTCCCGCAGTCGATGTCCGCTTAGGGCGCTACGCCATGCCGGTGGCCCCTCCAAGTAAGCGATGGGCATCATACGGTAAACGCTAACGTGCAGCTTCTTGAACGTATCCTGGTAGCTGTCGCAGGATTCCCTGGTTACGGGGTTGCCCAAGTGGGTCCTCCAGATCGCGCATCTCGTGTCTAAGCCAACCCTGAAACCGCTCACCCCACCACTCTCTCATCTGCCTGTCAAGCCTGAGGACGCGGACAGGATTTCTCCTGAAGGTGGGATCGTGATGGGGGTGATTCATGGGTAAGGTCAAGTCGTCACGCGATTCAATGGGACGATCGAATGGCAATCCACCGCAAACAGGCTTAGCAACTTCGTCAACACGCAAGCGCACAGGAGCGACCAGTGGGCTCGGCGGTCTTGGCGGGGGTGGGAGTCCCAGAGGAGTCTCGCGTTAGTTGTCTCCCTTGTCCCGCTTGTCAATGCCTCTGAGTCTGGTAACTTCGTCCTGTGGCTCTGGCAAAAGGTCAGGCTCCTTCGTCGGTGAGCTCGGTCCCTTGTCCTCCTCCTGAACGGTTCGTCCCTGGCGATTTCGTTGGAGTCTTTACTGGCGCGCTTAGGCTGGGGTTGTGAATGCCACGACAATGGACACCCTAACAGTCCTATCATTGAACTAAAGATGTATCTAAAATGTGTAAGACATGTTCGAAGCATGTTTCAAGCAGATGTGTAACATCTTCAAGATACAGTTGAAACATATTCTAGACATCTGGAAACTACTTGGCAGCATGCTCCCTCTCCATCGATCGTCCTCCACAGGGCTGGGGATTGGGATCTGCCTGGGCTGCGCCGCCGGAGCCCGCCGCGCTGGCTGGCCCCGGCGGGCTGGGCGGAGCCGCCGCCCAGGGCGAGCACTCCTCGCCCCCGGTCTCCGCTCTTGCGCCAGGGCGCGCTTTCGCTGGTTGCCTCAAAAAAAGCACACAGCGTTTCTTCCCTCAGTGTGTGTGTGTGTTTTTTTCCCACAGTGTGTTGTTTTTTCCCTCAGTGTGTGTGTGTGTGTGTGTTTTGGTGCTTTGGTGCGTCGGCGGCCTGGGGCGTCTGCACCTCGCCAGGCCCGTGCGCTGGGCCCTCGAGCGACGTCCGTCGCCTGCCGAGCCCGAAAGGAGCCGAGCCGCGGGCAGCGCCCCCGCGCGCGTGTGTGTGTGTGTGTGTGTGTGTGTGTGTGTGTGTGTGTGTGTGTGTGTGTGTGTGTGTGTGTGTGTGTGTGTGTGTGTGTGTGTGTGTGTGTGTGTGTGTGTGTGTGTGTGTGTGTGTGTGTGTGTGTGTGTGTGTGTGTGTGTGTGTGTGTGTGTGTGTGTGTGTGTGTGTGTGTGTGTGTGTGTGTGTGTGTGTGTGTGTGTGTGTGTGTGTGTGTTTTTTCCACAGTGTGTGTTTATTTTGTGTTTGTTCCCACAATGTGTTTTTTCCCACAGGCTCCTCCCTGGCCCCCGACGGCCCTGCTCACCGTGCTAAGGTGCCGGATCGCCTCCTCGAGCGCCCGGCTAATTCGCGTGACTGCTCCGCCATGTCCCAACAGACTGGTCGCTACGTTCAGCTTCGCAATCCCCTGCTCGCTGTCGTCTTCGGGGACGTCGCGCTTCTGTTTTTGCCGCGCGCTCGGCGTCCCTGGTAGCCTCTCCTTTCAGTGGCTCATCGCATTGCTCTTGCAGCTAGTCGCTATTCTCTTCAAGTTTCCTGTTGCTCTCATTCAGCGCCTGGCTGCGATCCATGAACTCATTGGCAACCTGCTTTAGGGTCGTGAGCTTGTCAATGTTGCTGCTCATCGCGTGACCCATGGCGCCCGAGGCTTTGTGCGCCAGCCTGGTTATGCGCGCGTTCATCGTGGCCCTGGCCTCGTCGCGGCAGTTGCGCTGCCAGATGGCATCGTGGACCAGGTTGTTAGATGTCGTCAGGCTGCAGGACGTTTCCCGTCTTGTCGTCAATTCCGTGCACGTTTTCCTCGGTCACGAGCCCTGGGTCTCTGAGGTCAACATCTTGCCCATTCACGGTTCACCTCCTGATCGGGGAGAGATCAGGCCCCGCGAGGCCAGCCCCGGCCATGGTGCGAGGGCCGCGTGACTTGCGCCGTCGCTGGTGCTAACTGCTAACTCATGCCTCCCGGTCTAAAGATATTGTCCTGTCCCTCTCACGCGTGTGTTCATGCTGTCTCTGCCCGCATACATACATGGGTAATTAGGGCATCAGCCAAGTTATCCCACTCCAACTTCGGCCACCCTGATGGGCTCACTCCTTATTTCATCTTGCAACCCTACTCTGCACACCTCGATGTGTTGTACTGAGAGCCCCAAGACGACCCAACAGGACCCCAGGAGGCCCGAAGAGATGCCCATAACGGCTCAAAATGGGGCCTAGACTCCCTCCGAAGCATTCCAAATCGTGACTCGTGGAACAGCATGTGTCGCACCAAGAAATTATCAATCGTGTTCAAGGACTTCGACACATAATCATCCGCAGTATGGCTAGGTTGCGCGACCTTTCACGCTTGCTTCTTCATTCCCCCGCTTCTCTTCGGTTTTCACTCGACCTCCACCAGTAGGCAGGCACGTGATGGAGATTGCAGATGCAGCAGGACCTGGAGTGGCCCAACAGTCATCTCGCGAAGAGAGAGGTTGCTCAGGATGGCAGTCTTAGAGCATGGCTCGGTGTGGCGCGCAATCCGCAGAGCCATGGTGTAATCTCCTCAAGCTTGCCGCCGTGCATGCTCCGACACAGTAACGTCCGGAGTATGACAACAAAAAGAGCAAGCATAATGTGACCGCCCTCTTTCCCGAAGTCAAGCTCTGGGACCCAACCCAAGATCAAATGCGGGCCATTGCATCCAAATGTGAAGTACTCATGTACCCATGTTATAGCTGCAGGTTCACGTATGATTCGGCCAGAACTCTGACGATGCATCATTGCAAACATCACCCCACCCCAGGACCACCCCAAGAGATAGGCAGTGGGAAGCGTATGTCAGTGCTGCATGAAAGACTTCAGAAGCTACAACAGATTAGTCTATCACCTCCCCAGGGTTCTTGCCTGCTCGCAGTCTTCGTACGAAATCCATCGACCCCCATCCGAGAATGAAAAGTGGATGCCTCCTCGCCCGCGCATGTCGACACGCTGGCTTCAGATTTGGAGGGCAGGCAGATTCCCCGCGGCGCGTCTTCCATTTTTGTCGTTAATTGTGACTGGACTTGTAAGAGAGGCTGCGAGTTCATCAGCCTGTAGTTGCGAGCGAGCGAGCCAGGACGACGACGACGACAATGACGACGGCGACCGACTACGACGACGACGACGACCGAGGACGACTACGCATACGACTACGACGACGACGACGACGACGACGACGACGACGACGAGGCGACCGACAACGACGACGACTAGCACGACTACTACGATTGCGACGAAAATGCGGATGCGACTGCGACGACGACGGCGATGACGACACGTCCCGAAACCTGACCCGCGCCCGCGCGGCCTCCCAGCGGCCAAAAAGGAACTCCTGGAAGCACGCCCGTGGGCAACGCACCATCCGGGAACGCCGAAATGCCGGCCCGGGTGACGCAGAAACCGTCCACCTTCGCAGAGGGGCGTCCACTCCTCCTCCTCATCCTCCTCATCCTCCGCCTCCTCCTCCTCCTCCTCCTCCTCCACTTCCTCCTCCTCCTCCTCCTCCCTCTTCCTCCTCCTCATCGTCCTCCTCCCACTACTCCTTCTCCTAACGCTCCTCCTATATCCCTCCTCCTCCCCCCCTCCTCCTCCTCCTCCTCCTCCTCCTCCTCCTCCTCCTTCTCCTCCTCCTCCTCCTCCTCCTCCTCCTCCTCCTCCCTTTCTTCCTCCTCTTCTTCCTCCGCCTCCTCCTCGTTCCGTCTTTCATCGTCGTCGGCGCTGTCATCATAATATGATGATACCCAGCTGGGAAAATTTATAACAAAATCAACAACACGACCATAGTGAATGATCTGCAGACGGCAGCGCCCAAAGAGGATCATTCAGTGATGTTCGCCTTTCAATGTTGGCAGCGTACGCAGGCGCGCGCCAGGGGCCAGGTCATCGATATGCCACATTTTGGCTTGCGCGCCCAGTGGCAGCATTGGGAGGCGGACGCCACTTAATGCCTGGTTGCTCTACCAAACTAATCCTTCACAGGGTCTCTGGCGCGCTTCCGCGTTCTGCCTTGCGGTTTCGTTCCCACCAGTCGGATGGCCAACACGCAACTCGCAATGCAGACGATACGTTTCTCCGTAACATTGGCAGGCGGATGTGACTTGATGCGACGGGCCCCGCCTGGTCTGATTCAGCATTTTTTCCGCTTCCATCCCTGTGCCACTTTTGTTATTTACTTTTTCACGGGGGTGGGCAATTCTGCCTAAGTATTGGGTTTCCGCGCGACCCCCTTTCGTCTTTTAGCGTGCCGCCCTTTTGATCCTGTGGGACGTGTGAGACTTGTGCCCCTGTGGGACTTGCGCGACTTCTGGGGCCTGCGAGACATGCGGGACCCGGGCGACTTGCGGCATCGGTGGGTTTGGCGGGACCTGTGCGACCTGTGCGACCTGCGAGACTTGTGGGAGTTGCGAGGCCTGTAAGATCGATGGGACCTGTGCAAGACGTATGCCTTCTCAGGACCTGCGAAAGACCTGCGGGCGTTGCGGGACCTGTAAAATTTGCGGGGCCTGTGCGACTTGTGGCACCTGTGGGACCTGTGGGACCTGTGAGAACTGCGAGACCTGTGTGACCTGCGAAACTTGTGGGCGACCTGTGAGGCCCGGGGGACCTGTGGGACTGACGAAACCAACGGGGCCTGTGAGGCGTTGTCCAACAAACCGCGTTGACGACCCGGCGGGGGGCGTCTCTATGATGTAAAATCACACACGGGGTGCAGTTTAGGTTGCCCGGCGATCCCACTTACGATCGGGCGGGTGCGGGCTTACTGTGTAAATTCACACACACAATGCACTTCGCGTAAAATGGCGTGCCCCGGCGTGCCCACTTTACAATGTGTGATTGTTTTCCACGTTTGGCGCGTGAGAAATAGGACGGGGGGCATCCATCGCAAATTGGGGGAATCAAACAGTTCCACCTTACGATTGATGTTTCCCGTCTTATTTCTCACAGGCGAAACGCGGAAAAAGCAAATCATAAAGTGGGCACGCTGGGGCACGCCATTCTACGCGAAGTGCGCCCCGCGTGTGATTCTACACACTGAACCTGCCACCGCCCGATCGTTGAGTGGGGCCCCTGGGCAACGGGAAATGCGTCCTGTATTCCAGTTCACACAGTGAACCTGAACCCACCCGCGTCCATCGTTAAGCAGTTTCGCCAGACATGGAAAATCTGCCGCCAGTGAGCCCGCTCCCGCCCCATAGAGAATTGCCTCCGACAGCAACGGGCGGGCGCTGGGCCCCCAGGCCCACACGCAGCCGTTATTGCCAGGAACGGCGGGCGACGACGACGACGACCACGACGGCGGCGACGACGACGACGACGACCACGACGACGACGGCGACCACGACGAAGACGACATGCGTTCTCGCCACATCGCCGGCCACTGCTTAGCTCTCGCTGCTCGGCCGAAACGTCATCGGCATCCCTCCTCGCCTCTTCCTTCTAATCTTCCTACTCCTCCCCCCTCCTCGTTTTCCTGCACCTTCGCATATTCATGTTATTTTCCCTCGCGTTCCCCCCTCAACCTCCCAGGGAAGCCGCGATTGACCACGGCAGCCGTCCGGGTAAAATTTTGCGTGTCAGGGACCGCGCCCTTCCCATTCCATCTGCCCGAGCGGCAGAGGTGGCCAACGCTGCAAGGCAATTGCCGCTAGAACTATTGGAGCACGCCCAAGCACGTTCGACATCCACGCAGCCGGGGAAAATATAACAACATCAACAAGACGATCATCGTGAATGATCTGCAGACGACAGCGCCCAAAGAGGATCATTAAGTTATATTCGCCTTTCAATATTGGCAGCGTGCGCAGGCGCGCACCAGGGGTTAGGTCATCGATATGCCACACTTTGGCCTGCGCGCCCAGTGGCAGCATTGGGGGGCGGACGCCACTTAATGCGTGGATGCTCTACCAAGCTAATCCTTCGCAGGGCCTCTGGCGCGGGCGGTTCCACGTTCTGCCTTGCGGTTTCGTTCCGACCAATGGGATGGCTAACATGCAACTCGCAATGCAGACGATGCGTTTTCCCGTGACAGTGACAGGCGGATGTCATTTGATGCGACGGGCCCCGCCTGGTCTGCTTCAACATCTTTTCGGCTTCCATCCCTGTGCCACTGTCGTTATAATTTTTCCACGGGGAAGTAATGATGATGATGATGGCGGTGATGATAATGATGATGCTGATCCCCCCCTTCCGCCCCCCCCCCGCAACAAAGGCAATGGCCGATGACTGACAACCCACGCGTTGAGTCCACGTTAGTCTGATGTCAGCTAGAGAGCACAATCAAACGGTCATTAAATTCGAGCGAATGCATTACCAATGCGAGGCTTCTGGCGCCGCGGAAGCCAAACCACCGCTACGGGTGGGCAAGCGGACAAGCGGCAGCAAGGAAGGAGGACGGAGGGGGGGGCCGATCGATCGATGGGGCGGCCCCCTGAACCGCGGCTAGCGCCAAAGCCGGGGCAGGCGCCGCCGCGTGTTGTGACCGAGCAGGGCGAGCCGCCAGTGCAGGGGTCGCGCGCGCAGGCCGCGGCAACAGCGAGGGGCCCGAGCCCCGGGGCGCCCGCGCCAGCTTGCGGGCGACTGCAGGCGTCGCGGTGCGGTCGTAGCTGGCGACCCTGCGCAGCAAGCTCTCGCCAGTCCGCGGCGCGTGCGCGGTGTCCGTCAGCACGCTCGCGGGCACGGATGGCGCCATCGGCGCCGTTCAGTCCGCTGGGCACCCATCGCCTGCGGATCCGAGCGCCCGCGGCCAGGGCGAGGGCGGCCCCTCGGCGAAACATATCGAGCAAGCAAATACCGCGGCAACGACCCCTCCAGAGCGCAAGTCCAAGTGCAAGATGACCCCCCCGACAACACGCCTCTTCCCCCAGGAGTCCACGTCCGACAGAATCAGCTTGACGGCGTGTAGGTCTTCTCTTGCCTCCTTCGATGCATGGGCCACTTTCCTCAACAACTGGATGTAGCGCAACAGCCGCCAGTTGGCGCCGGCGGAGTGCGCGCGCGGACACTGCGGGAAAGTTTTTGGCATACTCACCCCTCGACGCTGCAAACGACGGCTCCGCATCGAGCATCGCGGCCTCGGCCGCGCAGGCTGCGCGGCCACGCGGCCGCCAGCTGCCGCCCTCCTCGCGAGCGCGGCAGAACCGCCACCTCATGTCAGCGGCCCGTGGCGGCGACGTCCTCCGCACCCCAGTCAGCGATCATCGACGCGCGCTCAGTCTCACTAGCATCGGTCGCGACCACCTGCGGAGACCGCGGGGCATCCAACTGGGCGCCCAGCGTGACGGGGGCCCCGCGGAAGATCTTCAGCTCCTTCGCGCTGGCGCCCGCGGCGGCCGAGCGCGCTGGCAGCCCCGCCGCGCGAAGGCGTAGCCGGCGCTGAAGCAGCTGAAGCTCTCGCGGCGGCAGAGCGCCGCGAACGAGCAGCGGCGCCAGACGCGCTCGATGTCGCGGCCGCGGCCCTAGGGCGACGCTGCGCCGAGCAATCGAGGCCCAGGTGCAGCTTCCAGAAGCGGCGCGGCGCCAGCGAGGCGCGCGCGGGCCACCCCTCCGACTGCCCGCCCAGCATCGCCATGGAGTCTGCGGCATCGGACTCGTCGTGGGCGGCGAGCCCAGCGGCCTCCACCGTCTGGGAAGCCAGCCGCCTGACGCGCGCCACCTCCCCCCGATCAGTGCCCACGACGAGCGCGTTGTCGCCGTAGAGGGAATGGGTCGGCTCCGCCGGCGGCGACGGCGGCGGGGCGAAGTCGACGGCCCGCAGCTCAGGTCTGACCGCGTCGCAGCCATCCAGCGCGCGCTCGCGGGCGCTCTGCGCGAAGTGCAGCGCGCAATTCCAACCCATCGGCGCCGCGGCCAGCCGCGGGCGCAAGCGCGCTCGCGGCGCCGCGCGGCGCCCGCACGGCCCGCCGATGCCCGGCCGGCGGCGGCCGTGGGCAGGCAGAACAGCGGCCGCAGGTGGGCAGGCAGCTTCGCGTCGATCCCCGCGAAGTAGAGCGGGGCCCCCTCGGGCAATTCTAGGCGCGCGAAGCCCGCGGCCGAGAGGAGGTTGACTGGCGGAGAAGGCTGAAACCGTCGGTGGCTTCTCCCACACTCGAGCACCATCCTGATGCGAGTGTCCATCTTGGCCACGAAGAACACCCCGACGCCCTCTACCCTGGACTTGCCGGCCACGAAGACGCCCCTGGAAACCCCGGGCTTCGCAAACTCCATGTACATCGTGCGGTTCTTTTCCAGCGCAAGGTCGATATATAAAGTGGAGCCCCCGCCCTCCTCCACGACTGCGTCGAAGCTCGGTGGCGGCAGCAACAAGGCGTGGTCGAGGTCCAGGAGAGAGCATCGGTCGCTCGGCCCGAGTCGGTCAGCAAGCCAGCCTGGCTGGTCCCCGAGTTGGGGCCAGCTCACGAAGCGCGGTGCA